GAAAAATAAAGGCAGAAATTGTGCTCTTCCCCTTTACTGAAGCCCACTTGATTTAAGGCTTTTATCACAGGTCAGCCACAGGACAGAAAGGCCAGCTTGCACTTCCCAAACCCGGAATATTTCAGTGTCAGGGTTTTGGTCCCGTTCCCAAGCACGGGCATCCCTGTCAGAGGCGTGGGTCCGTGTGCACTTGGAGAGCTTGCAGAGTAGACCTGTAGATAGCAGCAGTGCTCCAGTGCTTGCAGCTCAGCCCACGTGCTGCTGGCCACAAAGCACCCTCAAAAGACAATCTGGCTTTCTGCTCGCCCCCTCACAGCTGTCAGTCATCAACCAAAGTGTGATTTAATTAAAAAAAAAAACAGTCTCTCGAAGCCTTTCTTGAATAACTGCACCATCTTACAGGAAACAAACAAACGAACACCAAATTGTTATTTTAACTTTGGGTCGTGAAGAACAGAAGGAGTACTATGGCCATCAAAATGGGGAGGGAAAGGCCAATAATGATTGATACATGTGCAATTATTCCTTGTCTTATATGTCACACTAGGTTATTCCAGAATGCCACATTTACCAGAACACTTTAAAACTCAGTAAATATTTTACAGTGCAGCCACCAGATCTCTCAATCCAGCAGGTGTTTGCTTTTAGGACAGTGTTTTGGGATCTGTGTGTTATGTTTGGGCAGAAATTGTGGGATTGTTGGGTGAGCTGATATCACATGTGTTCTGCAAATAGTCAGGTCCCAGGATCAKGATGGTTCTTTCAAGATTTTGAGTTTTTATACAGCAATTCTTTAAAACTCTTTGAAAGTTTTAATTTTTTTTTTTCAGGTAGCTGTAGTTTTGTACTTTTAGATACTCTAAATTAATAAAGGAGAATTTGGCTTAGATATGCATGTGACTAATAAATACATTACAAAATATTAAATAGCATAAAATTAAAAGCATARTTAAATAACTCCAGTTACCTGACAGAACTTGGCAGGAAAGAATTGAAAATTTAATTTATTTCATTTTAYTATTTCTCCTTCCAATAACTTGAATAGATTATAGATAGCTGTGAGCCATCCATGCAAACCCTAAAGAGAGTATGAATGAAATGAAAGTAACCCAAATGAAAGGGAAAGAAASAGAAATRTCACAAAGCCATTGTTAACACGTTTGGGATGAAGGGCAGAATGGGATGGAGCAGAGAGGACACCGGCAGAGCACAGGTTTCCTACACAACATGGAGTGACACATTTGTTTCTTTTAAGGTAACTGCATCTGACAATTTTGCAGTGCCCAAGACATCTAATCCCTATTACGCTCAGGTACAATCCCACAGGATACTGTGAAACYCTCTAAAGCAACTACAGGAATCTTTCTACTGTGTTTAAACACAGAATGCACGCTAGTATCATCTTCTGAAATTAACCTGATTCTTCCCTTCTGAAAGTAGCACAGATTGTCTTGGAGTGCTTATTGGAAACAGTTTGTTTTGCTGGAAAACATTTCATATACTGGATATCAGCATAGTGGCGAGATTACTTGCTGGGTTTTGAGGCACCTGAGGCATGTTTATTTAACGTGTTTCTAATGTCCCCAGTCAACACATTTCCAAAACATGCCAGCTGTGTTGTCTGCAATCTATTCAGACAGGAAAGACAGAACAGAGGTGAGAGAAAGGATTGGAAATTACCCAGATTCCTAGGGAAAAATGGCTTGAAGACAAATTGTGCAGAAGGAAGGGTTGTTCTTGACCCATTTTCTCCAGTTTGGGCAGTGCTTCTATACCTAAAGATCACAGCAGTTGTTTTGCTGTAAGGATTAGTTCCCCCGACTTGGATTAGGAACATGTCTCCACTTAGGCACAGCAAGAGATGCAATAGCCCTGCCCTCAYAAGCCTTTGTGGCTTTGTGGAGTTTCCTGCCAAATAGGATTGGCCCAGCCATGTCACATAGGAATATGATTTAATTCACCTTTATAAATCTCTTAACTCTGCCCTTAGTAAAAAAACCTAGCGTTCTTCATACTCTTCAAGATGTGATTGAGGACCAAACACAGTTATGATTTTTAACATGATACACTATCTCCTCTTGTTTGCTCTGGGAAATTCAGCTACTCCTCTAGGGCTAAGTAAAGGAGGATTTTTTTTTCTTATTTCTGAACTTAAACTGGAACATGGAAATAAGTACAGGAGGTTTCACTTGATGCTTGCTAAATTTTTTCCTAGTGCTTGATTGCTGTGTGCATAACCAGGAGCTGGAGCATGTATATTTTGAGATGATAGTGGGAGATTAAATGCCTCTAGCTGGAACAGCTGTGTTATTGCACGTGGTTTGGTTTTCACAGTTTCAATAATGTGGATAATGATATGAAGATTATGTGTTTCCAGTTTCAGTTCYACCAGGAAAACTTTCTAGGAACTTTGTCAATTCACTGTTTAATGTACATGTGCTTGAAACCTTCAACATGTTTTTCATGCCATTTTAGCCAAAGTCTCTTTAAAACTTTGCATTTTAGAGCAATGGCAT